ACATCCATAAATATTTGGTAGAGGCAGAACAGTCTAGTGGGCCCAGGCTGTCCTTTAGACCGATGTTCCCCACCTTGGTCTGCTTGGGTGCATGCACTAGCAGCAGCAGCAGTGGGAGCATTTCCCAGCATGGGAGGTGTTCAGCTGCTTGGGCATGATACAATTTTTTTTAAGAGGCCTGCACACCACTAGCTGTCCACGTACAATAATCTAGAGACCATTTTGAAGAAGTCTCTGGGTAGAAGTGCCTTGAGATGCAAGAAGATGCAAGAAGATGCATGTAAAACCCAGAAAATTTCTCTAATGACCTGCAGATTCTGAAAAGAAATTGATTATTATTAGATACAGCTACAGAAAAGCTAGTAGGCAACCACTGTACTCTAAATTCAATGAGAGCCATGGTGACAAATGATGGGAAAGCTATGCGTGTATGGCAGTATTTTTATATAAAAGGTAATACAACGATTTGTGCTACTTAGTGCACAGTGCCTGCTTCGAAAGCCTGATCTCAAAGCTAAGCATTTAATTTTAAACGTGTCCTTAAGCAATTTGAGTTTCAACAGTACTGGAAATTCACAGCTCCCATGGACAGTGTCAGGATGGATACCTGACTGCAAAACAACAGTCATTTTTTCTAAAGGACATTCAATCTGACAGTTATAGCTATTTCCTTCTGAATATTCATGAATTTTCCTGAGGAACTGCAAGTATAAAGACTAAGTAGCTATATGTGAAACACTTTCTTTAAAGTATAAATTCACTGTATTGAGTCCTGTGACATTAATGTCCTGTGCATTACTGTCTCAGTTTAAAAATGAATGTGTAAATATTTATTTATGTACAAATTTGTAGAGAAATCTAATGGCTTAAAATCACATGGTTCATCTGGAACATCACTGATATTTTTATATGCACTGTGTCTATATTAAAGAAATTATTACATTAGCATTTACTATTTCTACTTCTATAATATATATAAGAGAAAAATATAAGCCACATCACTCACCAGATGAAGAAAGACAAATGTAGAAAGTGTGAAACCTTTAACGGCATTTTTATTGTGAAAGGTGAGAAGTTCTCTCACTTTGTTTGAAGAGTGATGTGGCCTAGCTTCACTTACACATGTGACGTACACATGGTTTTTTACTAACACAAGTGGTCTAGTTCTAATTATACACTGGGAAGAAAATACTCATAATTGCAACAATTGATTTCTCAGTCTGTCTTGCATCAAGCAAATATTTTTGCAAACCATATTGTCGCAGTTTTTCCTGTCTCTAAAATAAGAACAAATCTTCTTTAGCAAAATTAACACTGAAAATTAGTACTTTATTCTGGGTGTTATCTGAAATTATTAGAGTATTACCCCAATAATATGATCCTTCTGTCTCCATCCACAGGGAAACCTCCACGCATCATAGTTGTCAGCGAAGATGAAATACGTCAGTCACTCCTTTTTTCCTTATCCTCCGGCTACTCTCTCTGCCTGCGTCTATGACAGTACCTCAAACCAGCACAGGGACCATTCTTTCTCTGGCCCTAAGGCCAAGTGGCACAGCAGAGCCCGCTCCCCTACGCCCCAGTTCTGATGTCACGTTACTTTCTGAACTACGCTCGGACAATTTTCTCAGAGGTCTAGACCATGCTAGAAGGGGACATGCTGACCATTGATCCTATCACTGTGGGACAGTGTTGGACACATTCCTAGCACTATAATTATTAGTGAAGATATAACCAGAAAAGGGTAGAAAATACCACAAGAAACATTCTAAATGCATGACTTTTTCCTCCGAAACCTCTTCCTGAAGGTAATCTCACAGGAAAATGTAGTAAGACCCACCGTTATTGCACATGCATTTTCAATGTAGATCGTTTTATTTTCAGCTTCTGTGGAGACCTAAAATGCAGACAATCAAATGCCAATACACCTGAAGTAATTACTGTATTATTCTGTGAATGAAATACATTCCATGGGACTAGCTGAAGAACCAGTTGTGTTCAATAGTAGACATGTGGTATCTGATCTTGATAATCAAAATTATGTATCTTGTAGGAAATATAACAGAAGAAAAAAAAAAGAAATACTGCACTGAATTAATGCTCCAATTAGCTTAACTGCTACTTGTATTTAATTAATTATTATATTGCTTGAAGATGTTCCATAAATGACTTGCAAATGTACATGTGCAGAGGAGTGGCACTAATTTGTGTTATTAAGGCATAAGGATTTATTAGAGGATATCACAAGATCTGTAGTAACTAAAAATGCGATCACGTAAGAGAGGAAGACTTACAAAAATGCCTATCACTTTTTTCCTTTCTTGTTTCTTGCTTCAGTCCACACTGTGATATTCAGGCATCTCTTGAAATGCCCCACTTCTGTGTGTAATTTTACACTTTCCCTCGTACTCTGCAGGAAGCACGGTGCTCTATTATATTCAAAATTCTGTGCCTTCTGAAGTGCCTGAGAGTTTGACACTGACTCCTGCAGGATGTCTCGCAGGGTACGTATCACTATGTGCAAACTGCAAATTAATTGGAAATTATATTTCTCATAGCTTAATTGTTAACTTTGAACATTTTTTCTAAAATACTAAATTTCACTGCAGAGATAATTTGAATACCTTTGTCACACTGAAGAGGAAAGAATTAATTAAATTCTGGATTGCCAATCAAGTTGAGAACACAATGTGGAAATGCTCATTAAGCAGGAAGCAAGTAACGGCGGCCAAATTGTGACAGAGACTAATGTATCTTGCAAATGAAAATGCCATCTCCAATCTGTAACATAATGATTTGCACAGACTTCTCCCTGCCCCCATTCCCACTCTTTTTCCTCAAGTCTAAAGTGCACTCTGTAATGCATTATTAAGCTAAATTCTGACCCAGTTTCTTAATTATCTGTAAGCTACGCAGAACTTGTAGCAGAATATTAACTAAGGCAAGAGATGTAAGACGGAAGAATCCATGATGGTATTAGAGAGAATCATTAGCATTTTGCTAAAAAAAATCCTTGAAATTTTAATATTTAACCTGCCCTAACATCCAGAATCTATATTTTAAAGCAGTACAAAGTGTATACCAGCCAAGCCACCAAAATAATCCAGGCAAAAAATGTAAAACAAACAGAAGTATTTAGGGAACCATTCCTGGATTCACAAAATCAAAACCTTGCAGCAAGCTGACTCATTTCTGGAACAAGAGGATTTTTTCCGACTGTTCTTGGTAGATACCATCAACAGTTGTTGCAATCTCATGTAACATTATGTGCTGAACTATTTATTTTAGGTGAACTCTAGAACATAATCTGCTATGGGTTATACATGTGTATCAAGATTTTCGGGGGTACAATCGGGATAAACAACTGTCATAATAAATGATAGTTTAAAAGAATCCTCCAAGCACTTTTGCGCCTGGTTAGTATCAAGTTAACAGTTGCAGTTTTGTATCTCCTTGCACTGCTGCATATTAGTTGAATATGAGGAGTTTTCCTGGTGAAAAATCAATCACAGATATACTATATCAGAAACAAAGAATCCATGGACTTCTACATATGAAGCTGCAGGCTTATTTGACTTTGAAGTCTTTTTGTATCTCTGATGTAAAAGTGTTTGAGTGGAAAACATACTGCAAGAGCAACGTATTTAGTGAGAACGATTTTTAATATAAAACATATTTCAAAATTATTTGAGGAAAAAATGCTTTCCCCATCCAATATTTGAAGGATTTGTTGTATGATCATATAGAAAGTCAAGCTTTAATTGCAAAATTTAGACAGCAGAGAAAGTCTGCATTATACATTTATAACTCTGTGGACAAGGACGTATGTATTCAGTTCAAAGATCAAAGAAAACCCATGCAGTCCAATTACCATCAAGCTGAGGAGTCAGAAAATACGGCATGTGTATATCCATTTTTTAAAAAGGTTTGTTTTATGAATTCACTGACAAAGAAATCCTACTGTTTGAAAAGGAGTAAGAGACAGTTACATACCATGTTTTATTAGTAATAGTGTCAAATGCAACTCATGTGTCAAGTCTGTAGTTTGCGAAACATCTGATGATTGGAAAGTGCTAATAAGTGTAATGTACATTCAAGTACATTGCTTCAATTTGAAGAGTACTTTCTCTACTGGAGCATCTGGATGTATCATTGCTAATGCTAACACTGTGAATCACCCACTTCAATCCACCAAATATTCTTCAAAACTTCTCCAAAGTGACAAACAAGATTGAGACACCCTTCCTTTACAGAAAAGGAAAAAAAATAATCAAGATTTTATATTTGAGCACCTAACCTAGTGTGTAGGCATCTAAACACATTTTCAAAGGCCAGATCTCACAAAAGTACCGCACGTTTTTCCATTTGCATGGTCTTATATTTTACTTTCTAGAATAATCTGCATATTCCGACATTCATACCAGAGTACTCCCTACAGAGGATGAAGACCTTTTTTTCCATGCATTGCATTTCATTTGTGTTTGATTGCAATCAAGCCAGCATTTAGTCAGCTGTCCCTTGGCCCAAGGAGAGCAAGTGCGACAGCACGAGCTCCTGAGACAAAGCTGGATGCCAGGAGGATGTTTACCAGCATAATTATGTCATGCAAGCCATCTGTGACATCCTGACCCCACAGTGCTTGGTTCTTTCATCTCCCGAAGTGCTTTGATCCAGTGGTGAACTGTGAGGAAATCTGCACGGCCTCTTAGGTAGGAAACCATTCTCACTGAGGCAGACACGGCTGGACAGACAACTTCAAGGCCTTAACCTTGTCTCTGTCAGGCAAAGAAAAGTTCTTAGTGAAAATATGCTGGTATCTATCATTCAGTTCTTAACATAATCACCAGTGCTATCATTGTTAAACAAAAGAGAGCACCCTTCCTCTAAAAGCAAAAACATCTATTTAGCCACATCAATGTTCTGCCTCCTCATGGTGTGCCGCTCCATGGTCATCACTATTTCTCTCATAAAAAATGTGCAGTAAGAGGGTTTTTTTCTTCTCAGGATTCTATTTCTTCCATCACTTCCATCACAATTGTTCGAGGGCCAGTCAGGATGAGGTTGCTCACTGTCCTGTAATCCACGTGGAGAACATTGAGGCCATTGACAGATACGACAAACTGGCAAACCTGAGGAGAAAAGAGAGCAGCAAAAAAAGACTTTTTTTTGTAAGGTTATTTACACAGAGGTACTATCAACTCCTGGGGGCACAAAACCTCCAGAACTCTTCATACCATCTCATTCATCACTCTTAAAAAAAATGCATTTCTTAGAATCATAGAATTGTCAGGCTTGGAAGGGACCTTAAACATCCCCTGATTCTACCCCCCCCGCCACGGGCAGGGACATGCCCCACTAGATCAGGCTGCCCAGAGCCCCATTCAACCCGACCTGAAAAACTTCCAGGGATGGGGCTTCCACCACCCCTCTGGGCAACCTGTGCCAGTGTCTCACCACGCTCATGGGGAAGAACTTCTTAACGTCCAATCTGAACCAGCTACCCAACATCCTAAAACTAATGTAGCATTAATCTAAAACTGATCTAGCAAGCTTATTTTCTGCAAAATTTTTTTAAATACTAGTGCAACTTTCAAACCTGTGAAGTTCTGAAGAAATACATCAACCATTTTTCTTGTAACAATGATCTTTTCCTTATAACAATGATATTTTCTGATATCAATGGTGCTTTGAAAATAATATGGGACAAGATAGCTCTGGTTATTGCAAAGAGTCTATTATGCTTAGTTTGTCTCAAATACTTCAATAGAAACCATGTTAGACAGCTCTTGGTAGTCACGGTAAAAATATGCATCATGTTTCCAGGCTCAGGACAAGGTCTGGATGGTGACTTCACTAGATTTGGTGCTAAAACTTCCACCAGTATAACATGACCCCAAAGAACCCAAATTCTAGGAAATAATACCATGGAAGATGAAGTAAGTCAAGACAGATTGAAATGTCACTGCCATTTTCAGGAGATTTTCCTACACGACTTTAGTTCTCTTTCCTGTTTATGTGAACTGGTTTTGGTTTTCTCCATCAAGTATATCTCATACCTTAATTTCAAATATGCTAATATAAAGCCATAACAAATTCAAATGTTTAAAATCTTGTATGATCAGAAGCCACTTCCAGTCCCAAAAAGTCTTTATAGAAATATTCTGTGTATCTTAAAAAGAGTTAATCACAGAAAAAGTCACATCAACGTTGTAAAAAACTGAAGAGTAAAAGAAAGGTGACAATGCTGATTCCTGGAGCATGTTAAGCCTTCTCTATATGTAATCATAATATTACAGTATCTGGTAAAAAGGCCAAAAATGTGCAGTGTCTAGATGGTAAAATTATGGAAACTAAAGCAACAATAACATCATTCTGACACTTCAATGAAAACAATATATTCACTAGAAGGTTATTTTACTCATAAGTAGTCTAAAGTCTCTAAGAAAGAAGCTATGAAGAGCCTATCAATAGGAATTTTCATGCTTTATTTTATATTTTTACCTTTCCTATTTAGGCAGAACGTATGCCAAAGAGGTGGGAAGGAGCTCTGGTGTCTTCCACTGCTAGTCCTAAAACAGATTTTCTCACAAGCCAAGTCATTTGACTTTTGTGCATCAGCTACCTTCCCCCTGAAGTAAAACGTGTGGTGAAACTCAATTTGTATTTGTGCAAAACGTACAGAATGTTACAATGTTCCATTTAAGGCAAATCATAGAGGAAGCAAAGGCGGTCCAAAAATGTAACACTTCATCAAAAACACAACCGATGTTTTTAATCCCTTCTCCTTAGGGCCTCTGCAAAGAAAGAGCAACAGCAGCAGCCCCTGAAGGGAGGGCAGACGTCTCTCCCACACCTTACCCCTTCCCCTCAGAATTCCTCTGCAGAGCTGAAAATCCTGGAAGTCAGCCTTACTGCTAGCCTGCTTAATTACTGGTAGCCTACTTAATTACTGGTAGCCTACTTACTTACTGGTAGCCTACTCAGCCAATGTCCATGGCAGCTTTCCTGTACATTCATATGCTGCATTTTAGCTGCAGGTAGCACTGGGAAAATGGTTCCATTGTTGCATGCAGACAAGGCCTTCTGAATTTTAAGGATTTGGGCTGAAAAGGTTAACCCATCATCCTCTGCAGTGTGCCTCAGTTAGTATCTTGGAGGCATGTCTCTTCAGTTGAAAATGCAGATTATTTCAGTATCTATAGGCCTCAATATCCAGTGGTATTTCCTAATGCTTTCTAAGGCTTTCCAAGATTGTATCAAGTTTTACTGAATTATAGCTCCGGCTCCAGAATAATATTTGGGTTGATTTGAAACAGACCTTCAGAAATAACATTGTCTCTTCTGGCTTAACACAATTTTTGGAATTTGGATGGCCGATGTTTGTTTTACTACCCCATGTTCTCAGACTTCTCAAGTTACTGGAATCCCAATGCATGGGACTCGTGTTTGGCCAGGGACAAGCATGCAAGTATGTGATGGATAAATCTGCATGCTGGATCACGCCAGGGGCATTCGGGGGCCTCTGGGAAACATCCCTGGCACAGAAGCAGACTTTTTGGCCCAGCCAGGCACTTGCACCAGGGCTGCAATGGTGTAAATGTGGACAGTACAGGCACCACAGCAGTCAACAGCAATCTGGATGCCAAAGACTGAATTTCTTACGCAAAAGACACAAGTTGACGCATCTGTGTTCTCAGCATGTTCTAATGCATGCCTTTGGCAGTATTACTAATCAGTAATGCGTACGGGCTGAGAACAGTCCCCTTCGCGCCATCCTTTGCACTGGATCCAAATGGCTTATTAGCCAAATGATTTATCCCTACCCACCACTTCCAGTACCTAGAATTAGATGCAAAACAAGCCAGATGAGAAGAGAAATGCAGCAAGGAGGACAAGGCATAGAAGAGCATACTTCTGTCCTAAAATTGCATGAAAACACCCATGAGGAACAGGCAACCTACCCTGGGGGCAGAAAGCTCTTTCCATGGCCACCACTTGGCCAGTGCCCCCAAGGACTGAGTTTGCAAACTCCAGATTCAGCTCCCTCAGGGACAAAGAAATGTGGAGCCAGTTGCTGCGTCCTCCAGTCCTGACGAGGGAAGAGAGATTTGCATAGTCCTGAGCCTCTCCTTATGCCCTCAGCTCACACAGTTGTCTTCTTCCAGCCTCCAGTTTTCCACGCACTGCTGCATCCAGCAAGGGGAAATGAAATGCAGCACTCCTGCTTTCTGCATTTTGGCCATCATCAGTCCCCAAAAAAAGCGGACCCGGTGCGTTGCCCTCTCAGGGGAGTTACAAACAAGCGAGAGTGAGCAAGTGCCCACAAACCAGCCCTGACCGAGTGTATTAATCCAAATATTATTATCTCATGAGTTTTGTTAAGGAGACTGGTTACAAAATCACAATGATTTAATGTTACATTTATAAAAACACATTTCAAAAAGCTGTAAGCGCTCAGCTCATAGGTACATCTGTTAAGGGCTTTGTAACTATAAACATGTAAAATTTCTTTGTTGGTTGCCACACATGAGTAACTCTAACAGATAATAAACTAAAGTTAAAAGAGCTTCAAAGAGCCTTTTATTGCTCATTTCCTCGTAGCTCTCCAAGGAGCTTGACAGGAGATAAGTATTCATTTTTATCCCTCAGACTTCAAGAAATGACAAAGCCCAGAATTAATTCCAACCATTTAGTTGGTCAGGATGTGGCGATCTAAAAACCACAGAAACAATAACAGTTAAATAAAGTAACACTGAAATGAAAAGACTGCCTTAATTAATTTCAAATATTTAAATGTTACAGTAATAAACATATACTGTTAAGTATTTCAATTTACCACCTTGGCACAGAGCAACCTAGAGAGGTAGGGATAGCAGAAAAGACATTTCTGTCCTTCTGCAGGTTTTCACTGGCACATTGGGAAGGTTTAACTAAATCCAAGTATTCCCAGGAAAAGGGATACTTGAACTTTAGGCTTACATTTGAACAGAAGGGATCTGGGAACCCATCAATTAAAGAAGTTAGCAAAGATTTGTCATGCCATTTATCATCAAACTGAAGACATAGAGAAGAGGAATTATAATTAGTTACCATAATGTTTAATGGCCAAAATCAGGATCGCGCTGTACTTGGAGCTGTACAACCCTTCCTCCCCCTCACCGGTTACTGCTCTTCCCTCTGCGTCAGGCTTTGGCTGCCTGCCCCTCCTTGATCTTGCCAAGCTGCCCTGGAGATGTACGTCCACGCCCCTGGATTTTCCTGCCAGGAGAACTGACACCAACCAAACCAAAGCCCTGTTCTCTCAGAGGGAGCTGCCTGCGCTGGGGCTGGACAGCTCAGCCCGCACTGGTCAGCAGCTGCGGTGAGGATGACTGCGGTGAGGATGACTGTGGGATGTTCCCAAGGGATGTCAGAGACCATCTGCAGTTATGGATGTGGAATTGCACAACAACCTTAAAGTCAATTACTGAATAAAAACATCACACACCTGTCACTGATGCTTACTTAGCGTTCTGCCTCAGGATGACCTTAATATTTATGAATGCTACAGAGAAATTATTTGAGGATAGGCAGTTTGCTAGCCTAAATCCTTGGATATTCAGAAGCTGTTTGTGCCATAGGCTTTAGCCACCTTTAGCCACGTGTGCCTTTTTCTAGGCACATGTTTTAGAAGGGTGCTGTGGAAGATCATGAACAGTTGGACATGCCCACCACAGAATTTGGTTTAAGTCATGACTGCAAAGCTCTTTGGGACAGCCCTAAAAAAAGCATTTAATTTTACAGATGCAGTGAACATCACTATTCATCACTTGGTCACGAAGCAAGTAACAGGTCCACAGAGTAAATAGATATTATATCTCAAAATAGTAGAATAAGACCATGATTACACAGTTACTTTAATTTGACATATTTTTTAAAAAGCTTGTGTTGAAGAGGAACAGAAAGGCTGGTGCCAGCACACAGGAGGGAGTATAGTTGGGGGTGGCTGAGGAGCTGCCCTTCTCCACAGCAGCAAACACCGGCGCCCCATTTCAGTGGCCGTGGGTTAAGGCTCTAATTCTCAAGGGATTTATCATTTCCATTTCACTGTCAAGATCAGTGCTCAGAATCCAACTCTGTGTTTTGGTTT